TCCCCCGCCCCCCGGTCCCTGCCAGCAGAGGGTAGCACGACTCTGCAGCGGGAAGCGGCTTCTGCAGAGGAGCTGGTCCTGCGCGGGTTTGGAGCTAGGAAAAAGGCAGAGTTCTGCGTGGGAAGAGAGAGGTGGACCTGGCAACGGGGACTGGCACAGCCACACACACACACACTGGTGATGTGGACAGAACCCACTGTCAGAGCAGATGCTCTGGGAGGAGGTGCTGTTCCTTCAGTGGGTTTGGCAGAAACCCAAGATGGGAATGGTGCCCACCCTCACGACCTTCAGTTTTCAGAGGAGTCTGTCTCTTCATTGGAGCCTTCACTCTCAGCATCCATTTTTCGCCGATGGTATAGAGGTTTCCAGGGAGAGTTAATCCTGGATGAGTTACGGACAGGCAAATTAGCTGTGTCCCCGCTGGAGCTGGTGGGACCGGAGACGGAAAGCCCTGAAACCTGAGCTATTCTGAAAGAGAAAAGACAAATGCTAGGCAGCCTATGTTGTCATGTCCAGCCTTTACTGTAGCAGTTTTGGAGTGAACTTGGGAGGAGGACTCATTCACAACTAGCACAGGGATGGAAAGATGTTCATGGCACAGAGGGGAACACCTTGCACTGGTACCTGCCAGACTCACTGTGTGAATCCTTCTGCCCATTTAAACAGATCTTTCTTCTGGGATCAGCCTATGTCTTCCAACACTCCTAGTTTTCCCCATCCAAACAAGATTTCCCTCTTTATTAGACTGCTGCTTTCTCTAGATCCCTCTTTGAGGCACACTTTTCCCTTCTGTTTCTGAAGCCTTTTCTAAGGATTTTGTTAGCTGCACCAAGCCACCCCAAAGAAAGAGGCCATCTTTGTTCAAGCTGCTCTGTTCGCTCCTCTATTGTTTTATAGAGCAATGGATAGGGACAGTTACTAAAGTCTTCCTTAGCATGCTACCTTTAATCTCTTACTCTACCTCCTACTTTAGGCAACTCCACTTACAGTTTCTCAAGTTCCTGATCCATGGCAGGGTCCAGAAACAAGTCCCCTTTATCTGGTAAAGCCCCTGAAAAAAAACCACAAGGAAAGTATCAGAGCAGAGTTAGGCTATTCATTTTTATAGAAAAGCACTCAAGCCATAGGCAGCACGCAAAACCTGCCCTGCAAGACAGAGAAGACTCTTCCTCACACCCGTTAGAGAAATGGGCACTGAATGTTGAGGATCATGGATAGATAAAGAATGATGGTCCATATTCTGTGACGCAGGCTGTAGCTGAGCTGAGACTAAATGGGAGGCACTCTCAGTATATTGTCTTACCTCTCAGAGAACTTGAAGAGCCCCAAGGACTAGCAGTTTTCATTCACTATACAAAAATACGGAGTACTAACTGTCAGGGAGATGACAGTCTGTCACCTTCAGGCCTCTGCTAATTGCCCTATATAGTCACCAGTCCCAGATCCTATCAGAGCAATAGATAAGTTGTCGTGTGTGCCACAGCCTGAAGCACATGCTATACCACCCAGGGAGACGTATACTTCTGTGCCACCTGCCTTCTTCTGGTGTACTGAGCTTGGGGATCAAAACACTCACAGATGTAAGACTATCGCTTTTCTTGCAATTCAGGAAAGTCAGGCCTGACTCTGGTACACATTAAGTCTACAGGAGTAAGCGTGGATGGACTGTGCTCTAGTGTTGCTTGCTGTCTAGGCGAGAGCATGAAAGGCTGGGCCAGTAATGGGGTACCCTCTCTCAGCATAAGGTCAACATACTCCTCTTCACATTTGAAACCCCATTCAGGATGAAGGACATGCTGTAGTTCAGGACCGGAACAGCTGGTTGATCATCCTTGCCCTTTTCTGAAAGGACACTGGCACCTCAGGAAGAGTGCAGAAAGGAAGATGCGGCTCTTAGGAAAGCTCTCCTTCCTAACTCTGTAACAAACTCCACCTTGTACAGGGGTCATGGGAGGGTGTGATCAGCCAGCACAGAGATGACAGGAATTGCCCACCACAGCCTGGATAGTGCCGCTGCACACCAGGACAAAAAAACCCACTGAGTTATCTGTACCAACAGTGCAATCAGGAATGCTCTTGGTTTTCAGGAGATCTGGGTGCCACCCTCAGTATCTTTGGGAAGGGGCTTTGTACTCCCTGTGAGGACACAAATCTGGTTTCTGGCCCTGGCACCTTGCTCTTGGAAGGATGGGCTGGGGAGCTTCACGCAGGCAAGCTGGCAGCAGTCATCCAAAACATAGCAATGAGTGCCTAAAAATCAGAACCAGTTTAGACTGGAACTGATTCCCCTATTTCTTCCAGTTCTGGTCTTCCCCTCCTGCAAATGAACAGGAAAGCCTGGCACGGCAACACAGAGTGTCGGGAGGTCCAGAGAAGTGCCCCAGCCTGCTCCTTTCATGGGCTCAATTAGAAGAATAAGCAGCTAAAGCTTGTTCCTGCATTTGCAGAATGCATAGTGAGGTCTCTAGGCCACAAGAATTACTCGGGAGAGTCAGTAAATAACACTTGAAGGATTCACAAGTCAACACTGACACTGGAGCTAGGCTGCGAACTCCGCCTGACAAACTCATTAGTGCTGCCCCAGCCTGAGAGCAGCTCTGATCCCTACCCCTGTTCCTCAAGGGGGGGCTGCTGGCTTCGTGAGACCAGGGTGAAGGCAGGCATCCTGACCAAAAGCTCCTTCGCCTGAAATGGCCCTCACTGAAGGGCTTTGGGGAGCTTGTGATCTGCTACAGACCAAAGACTATTGAAATCACCCTTCAGGAGAGATTAAAAGACATCAGGAGAAGAATCCTCCTTTCCTTGCCAAGATGCTAATACCTGTCAGACTTGTGGTTGCTGCCCCTCCTCTGAGAGAGGCCTCGGCAGGAGGCTGGCAGAGGGCCAGGGGACGGGTCCGCATTAATGGAAACGAAAACCCACACACTTTGTAGATGGCACAATGGAAGCTGTGGGCAGGATTTTTTTTTTTCTGCTCAGGTCTTTTCTTTGCACTCGACTAGAAGTGGATTTTGTAGGGCAAAAGAAAAAAAGATTTTGCTTGCTGCAATCCAGGCATCACCTTCCCCAGTGAATACACTGCTTCCTAAGCCTGTTTGCA